TGTGCTGGGATTTTCTTCACTGTAACCTTTATGGGAGATCTCCAGGCGGGTTCAAACCACCTTTTGCGTTAGCAACTAAGAGCAAACCATTTATCCCACCAGCAACCTTATGGGCTTTTTAGTGATGCTCAAATAAGGCAGAGAAACGTCTATGGTGACCCAAGGACTCCCCAGAGCCTTCCACTTGGCCAGTATCATTTCCCTGGACCCCCTGTACAAATGTCCTGGGGCCTGGCAAAAGAGCAGCACACACTGAGGGGCTGAGAATAGCAGACTCGTTCTGTCTCTCATAGCGCTGAAGTCCGAAATCAAGGTGTCAGCAGGGCTGACCTTCCTCAGGACGCTCTAGGGGAGTATGCTTTCTCATCTCCTCCAGGTATGGCTCCAGGTGTCCCTGGACTTAGGCTATATGAATCCCCACCTCCATCGTCTGTCACATGGCTGTCCCCTCTTTCTGTGTGTCTTCCTTTTATAAGGGCACTCATCTTCAGATTTAGACCCCACTCTACTCATATGTGATTCTATAGGATCAGCACTGGACTGGGAACCACAGTGTTAAAAGTTCAAACCCACCAGCTGCTCCTCGGAAACCCTATACAGGATTGCTATGAGTTGGAACTGACTCGACCACTTCACAACTACTTGTTTAACCTCATCCTAACTCATTACATCAGCAAAGACCTAGTTTACAGCTGAAATCCCATCCTGAGGTTCCAAATGTCCATTCAGCCCAGCACAGACTTAAAAACCCATTGCTGTTACGTTGACTCCAGCTCATGGGTAACTCATGCTAGAGAGTGGACTGTGTCCCATGGAGTTTTCTTGGCTATAATCTTTACAAGAGCACATTGCTAGGTTTTTCTTCCACAGTGCTACTGGGTAGGTCCAAACCACCAACGTTTAGGTCAGTAAGCAAGGGCAAACCATTTACATCATCCAGGGACCCACAAAACCAAACCCACTGCTGCCGAGTTGATTCCAGCTCACGGTGTCACTGTAGGACAGAGTGGCACTGCTCCCTGGCTCTGAGGCTGTACATCTGCACAGACACAAACTGCCTCATCTTTCTCCCACCCAGCAGCTGGGGGAGTTCTAGCCACAACCTTTCAATTACCAATGTTGTGGCACTGTGGGTTAATGTGCTGAACTGCAAAGTCAGTGTGTGAACCTCAAGGTCGGCAGTTCAAGCTCACCAGCTGTTCCTCGGAAACCCTATGAAGGGTCGCTGTAGGTTGGAACCAACTCGACAGCACTTAACAACAATAATCCACACCCCACACCCCCTTTTGTCACTTTTTCTCACAGACACTGTTTTCCACTTTGTCCAGCAGCCCCCAACAAGGGTTGCTGATTCCTGCTCTGTCCCAGCCCTGTGGCTAGCACCCTAAGATGTCACACAAAGCCACCAGTCCATCTCCATGACATCCAGACCATGCCCTGGGTACAGGGGCCCAATCCTACTGGGCTTTTTGAAATGCAAAAATAAAGAGCAGCCTGGTTCCTCCCTCTCTTCCCCCACCATAGAGTAGAACCACTTACATTCAAGTTTAAGGACCCTAACTTTGCCCCCCGGCTTTGCACCGCTGTGAGTCCCAAATTTGTTACTTTGGAAGGTATATGCCCATCTGTCCTTCTGTTGGAGTCCTTAGGGGGTGCCAACGATGGATGTGCTCAGCTGCTAACAGAAAAGTTAGAGATTCAAGTCCACTCAGCGGTGCCTCGAAAGAAAGGCCTGGTCTACTTTTCCCCCCAACAGCCATTCATAGCCCCTATGGAGCACAGTTAGTTCTATGTTGACATACATGGGGTGTCTGTGAGTCAGGGCAGCTGGGCAGTTGGCGAACTTTCTAAGAGCTTCATGTAAACATTCCTCCTAAAAAACACAGCCTAGCTGGCTCCAGGAGGCGTGTGTGCATGCGTGCGTGAAAAGTGGAATCTCGCTAAATTACAAACGGCGCTTCCCCAAGGATGCTGCCGTAATGCTAGCCTTCTCCTTTTAGCTGGGGAATGATTTCATCTGATAAACATGTGGCTTCAAATTATGGCCTTGCATAAACGGAATGGCTACACTTCACTCTCTAGAGGCCCGGCTCACCTCATGTTCCTGTAAATCCGCTCACCAATCGGATCCACAGAGCACTCACTCCTGTCTTCCCTCACAGAGCAGCCCCTAGGCCTCCGGCAAGGCTGACTACAAATTTGTCTCCTTATGCCAGAACCTAATTTCTGGTTGCCTCTCCTTTCCCTGTACCACCCTTCTCAGAAAGTGAGAGATAATGGCTCTGAACTGAGGTTGTTGGCATACAACAGATCACAACGTTGCCTGGTCTGTGCCATTGTCCCAGTTGTGGACATAAGCTTGCAAGTCTGAGTCCATGGTTGTGGCCACTGAATATCTTGAGCCCCTGTTAACACAGGTCTTCCAGCCCTGTGTCAGACAGCATTGTTGTGATCCATGGGGTTTCCACTGGCTGATTATCTCTCAGTCTGGAAACGCGCTGAGATCCACCTACCGCGGGGAATTTAAGGTGTCTGTGGTGGAGCCTCCAGCAGTACAGCAACCTTCCGGCCCCCACAGTGCAACACGCTGACGGATGGATGGTGAGAATTAAGGTACATGGATTCTAAGAGCACAGGAAGTATACCAGTGTGGCTTTTTAAAAATTGCGGTAAAGTGTACGTGAGGTAGACTTAACCACTGCAGGGTGGAGGATTTCATGCCGGTGAGTGCAGCCACCAGCCGGATCTGTTGTTAGTTGCCATAGAGGCAGAGCCAACTCAAGGTGACCCCGTGCTCGACAGAAGAGAATGTGATCTGGTCCTTTGGCCTGGGACTGCCTCTTGGTATGTCTGAGCTCATTGTTGTGGTTCTTGTGCTAATTGGTCTCATTCAGGTGTTCCCTGGCTTTTCCTTAGCCTTCTATTTAACCATCCATGGTTGTCTTTTTCTGGTTATCCGTCTTTCCTAATGATGCATCCAAAGTAAGCAAGCCGACGACTCACCATCCTTGCATTTAAGGAGCATTATTGTTACATTTCTTCTAAGACTGCTTCATCTGGTTATCCGTGGTGTGCTCAGTGTTCTGAGCCAGCGTCGCAGGTCAAATGCATCAATAATTCTTCTGTCTTCCTTTATGTTGTGCTTTCTCATTGCTGGGCAGTGAAGAAGGCTATCCTTGTGTAGTTGGAGAGCATTCTCATCCTCCCCAAAGGAGATACTATACGTGTTAGTGGCCACTCTCTGTTTTTCCCGTCTTCCTGCAACTGGCAAACCACTAATCTGCATAGAGACCACATTGTCTTTATGTGCTCCCCCTCCCGCCCCGATATTTCTTGTAAATTTGATCACACAGCATGTGGCCTTTGTCTGACATTTCACTCACAGAATATTTCTGAGGTTCATCCATATCATAACTTCCAGTCCTGGTATGATGCTGTGGAATAAAGCACTGAACCAGCCAAGTCGGCAGTTCAAACTCACCAGCCCTTCCTTGGAAACCCTATCCAGGTCACTGTGAGTTGGAACTGACTCAAAGGCCCACAGCAACAACCAAATTGGAACTTCATTCCTTTTTATGACTGAAGACTATTCCATCGTTTGTATGAACCGCTTGTGTTTAACCATCATCCATCAGTGGACACTGGGTTGTTTCCCCCTTTTGACTACTGTGAGAAATGCTGCAGTGAACATTTGTGTTCGAAGTTCATGTGGGATTATGTTTTCATTTCCCTTGGGTATGTGTCTAAAAGTGAAATTACTGGGTCGGATGGTAATTCTTGACTAACGTTTTGAGGAACTGCCAGGCTGCTTTCCAAAGGGGCTGCACCATTTTACGTCCCACAAGCAATGTGGAGAGTTCCAATTTTTCCACACCCTTGTCGACCCTTGTTGTTACGACTCTAGCCATCCTAGCAAGTGGTTTTGTTTCTGTTTCCCTGATGACCCATTGGTTTTGTGCATCTTTTTGTGCACTTCTTGGCCTTTTCTCTCCTTTGGGAAAAGGTCTGTTCAGGTTCGTTAGCCATTTTTCAGTTGGGTTCTTTGACATTTTATAATTGAGTTGTGAGAGTATTTCGTATATTCTTTGTATATGATGAGATCTAGTGCCCGTCCTAGACACTTCATATAAATGGAATCATATCATACACTGAAACCTGTGAGAGCCGGAACTCAGTTCCCCAGGTCATGCCAGTTTTCTGCCTTTCACAAGGTGCAGTCTGACCACTTTCCTATCACCTCTGTATTGTTGTTGTTAAGTGCCGTCGAACTGGTTCCAACTCAGCAACCCTGTAATAGGGTTTCCAAGGAGCAGCTGATGAGCGTGAACCTCCAACCTTGAGGTCCAGTGCATTATCCTGCAGCGCCACATCAGGACCATTAGTAGAAAATATTCCCTTCTCTGACAGGTTCCGGCTTTTACTGTCTCAGCCATTTGTGCCTGAGCACAGTGTTTTCAGTACTTAGTACTTGCCTACAATGTAGCAGGCTATCAGGTCTTAATTCCACTTTAGGTCTGGGTAATATTCCACTGTGTGCATGGACCATGTTGTGTTTCTCCTTTCATCCATGTGATTGGGGGGCACTTGGGTGGTTTCCGTTTCCTAGCTATTTTGATGGAGATTTTCAATATTTGCCTCTTTGCTTGCTCTGTGGTGATGGAGGTAGCTCTTCTTACACAAGCCCAGAGTTTGTTGTTGTTGTTGTTAGGTGCCACCGAGTTGGTATTGACCCATAGTGACCTTATGCACAGCAGAACGAAACACTGCCCGATCCTGGGCCAACCTCACTATTGTTGCCACGCTTGAGTCCATCGATGCTGGCCAGGTGGGCTGATTATATTGGGTTGGGATTTGCTTCCTGTTCATGTCACACAGAGGGCAGGTCAGGCATTAGGGGCAGCAGATCTGAAAAGCACAGCCCGGTGCATCTGGTGGGACACTTAGAATAAGGAAGAACACTCATGGTTTTCAGACCTACTGTCCTCTGTACCCTCTTAAAGGCCTACGATTTCCACTTCCCTGAGCCATTCCTCCCAGCACCCACGGACCCGACTCCTCAGCCCAAGATCAGCCCCCTTCCTTTTTCCCAGCTAACCACCTTTGGAATCCACCCCCGAGGCATTCCGGTGGGTTCTGGGGCACAGGTTTCACATCCACTTGGAACCAGGATCTGGAACCAAGGAACTGGTCATAGCTCAGCCAACTCTCTGGTCTCAGGCTCTGTGAAGATGAAACCAGCTGCCGTCAAGTTAAGCCCAGCTCCTGGTGAGCCTTTGTGTGTCAGAGTAGAGCTGTGCTCCGTACAGTCTGCAATGTGTGACTTTTCAGAAATAGACCACCTAGACCTTTCTTCCGAGGTGCCTCTGGGTGAATTTGAACCTCCAGCCTTTTCATTTTGCAACCGAACAGTTTTAACTGTTTGTACCACCCAGGGGCTCCCTGTAAAGATGAGACTTAATGAGAAAGTCATGGGTGGGATCCAGAGAAGAAAAAGGTTCTCTAAAGCTGTCTTCATCCAAACAGCAAAGCCAAGCACAAGAAACTGACCCCTCCACCCCACCCCACCCCAGTGTGGAATCATTTAATGCTCAATCTTTAACTAGCAAAAGGGGTTGAGGTCAGTCATCTTTTGTTTTGTTTTGTCTTATCAAACTGCCACAAACAGCTGCTAAGGTTCTTTCTCTTTAAATTCTGTTTATTTTGTTGTTAAACATAAACCAACTCAACCATTTCTACCTGTGCAATTTAGTGACAGTGATTCCATCTAAAGTTTTAAAGAGCAAAGATAATATAAGTTTGAGGACTAAGGTGTGCCTGACCCAAGCCCTGATATTTTCCGTTGCCTTATTATGCATGTGAAAGTTGAACAGTGAATAAGGAGGACTGTAGTAGAATTGATAACATTTGAGTTACAGTGTTAGAGAAGAATGTAGACAGATCCATGGACTGCCAGAAGAACAGACAAATCTGTCTTAGAAGAACTATAGCCAGAATGCTCTTCAGAAGCCAGGATGATGACGTTTCGTCTCAAGTACTTTGGACATGTTGTTAGAAAGGACCAGTCCCTGGAGAAGGATATCATGCCTGGTAAAGTGGTGAATCCGATAAAAAAAAAAAAAGACCCCCAACAAGATCTATTAACAAGTGGCAACAACAGTGGACTCGCACATAGCCGTTGTGTGGATGGCGCAGGATTGGGCAGTTTCATTGCGTTGTGCGTAGGGTCTCTCTAAGTCGTCACAGACTCGGTAGCTGGCATCTAACCACATTGATTCCATTCTTTGAGTTGTCCAACCATTGTCACCCTCCTTTTCTGCGTTGTTCCTTTCTCGTTAACAAAAGCTTACTATCCCCTGATAAGCACTGAACTGCAAACCACAAGGTACACGGTTTGAGCCCACCAGCCGCTCCACAGGAGAAAGATGAGGCTTTCTGTTCCTTAGAAACCCTCTACAGGATTGCTATGAGTCACAACCAATTAGACGGCCCAACAGCAACCACTGCCAACCAAGGTTCCTATCTAATCTTTCGAGTTACAGCTGTCAATTTGATCACATACAGTTTTTTACAAGAGTATAAGGTTCAATCAAGGCAGACATTCTTTACACATTAAGCGAAATTATTGTTTGCCTTTCAGAAGACTTCAGGGGGTATTTTTGGTTTGAGGGTTAAAGATGATATCCGGGCAGTAGTTTCAGAATCAATTCCATGGCTTCAGAAAGTCTAGAGTCCATAAGAATTAGAAAATCTGTTCTACATTTTCCCCCTTTTGATCAGGATTCTTCTATAGAATTTTTTTTTTTTTTTTAAGTCAAAATGTTCAGTAGCAGTAGCCAGGCACCATTCGTTCTCCTTGTCTCGTGCCAAGGAAGCAGTTGTTCATGGGGGCAATTAACCACACATTCCATACCCTCCTATTATACCTGACTTTCACTTTCCTCTGTTGCATCAGGTAACTAAGACCAGGTGGTATCTTTGTCAGATGGCCCCTTGCAAGCTTTTAAGACCCCAGACACTACACAGTGAACTAGGAAGCAGAGTAGAAGCACTCAACACATTAGGCCAGTTAATTAGGCTGTCCCATGAAACCATGGTCCTAAACCTGCAAACCAAGAATCCAAGTTATCAATGAACAGCCTCAGCAGCTAGTCCTGTATCTAGCAGTTGGGTGTTGCCATTTCTCTCTCTTCTCAAGAAATAGTTTTGATTTGTTTTAATCCAGCATTGTAGTCAAAGGAATGTGAATGGCAAGATAACCTTTTGTGCCTAACCAATGGATATGGCTTAAGAAAAACGGTGACCGCATGCTGGTGCAGGCACTGTGACACAGGTGGTTGTGTGTGCTGCTCCAGGTGGACTTGCTGATCAGACCGACAGTTCTGGAAGTCAGTTTGGTGGATGACTTAGGTCTCTGGAGTGAGGGCCCAGACCTAGGTGCCTGCCTAGTGGTTTAGGTGCAATGGCACGTGTTAGGGTAGATGCCATTCCCAAAGTGAGACAATGACAGGCATTTTGGGAAATGGTATGCCCCATGGCTTTTGTATTGAGAACGGTGTGGTCAGGCAGCTGACCACTGGACAGCCAAGAGGTTTGTGCCCCGACCCTGAGGATCCAAGGACTGGCACCAAGTGGAGTACACAGGGGACAGACCTGGGTGCTTGGAGGTGGGCCGGTGAGGGGCCACATGTGCAGAGCTGTACAGCCTGGTGGGATGGTCAGTGTCTCATGGCGAAGAACGCATGCCTAGGAGAGCTGCCACCCTGCGGTATGTTGGGGGCTTTGGAGAGGCCACTTTCTGCTCAGACTGATCTGCAGTGTGGCAGGGGTGGGATAGCCACCATGGTTCAGGCCACTTGAAGGCTCCCCCCATTTGGAGGGATGGAATTGACAGCTGGTACCTCTAGGTGCTTTTGTGTAGGGTGCCTACATCTAGAATCTTGTGAGAGCATGGGAGCAGGAGGCCATGCTGGGCACATAGTAATGGCAGTGAGGTGACTATGGAATGACATCCCAGAGACAGCAAGACAGAACCAGGAGGGACCCGCATGTTCGGGGCTACACAGACATAGTCCACAGTGAGGAGGGCCAGGTGCAGCAGGGGCTTGACGGGCATTTTCAGGGAGCAGTGGGGCCGGTGGTTGGGAGGGAATGGTACTTTTCCCAGGCTTGGGAACACCAGGGGAACTTTGAGGTGGTCTAGAGTTGACCAGTTATCTCGGGTTTTATTATTGATGGTTTGTGACATTGGGGAATCCCATGTGCTACTGAGTTGAAGTGCTCCACAGAGCTTCTTGGCTGTCATCCTAACAGAAACAGACCTCCAGGCTTTCCTTCTGCAGCACCACTAGGTGGGTTTGAACCCCTCATCTTCAAGTTAGCAGCGGAGCTCAAACCACCTGCACCGCCCGGAGACCCTCAGTTATCTCAGGTTTTAAGGCTGCCTGTCCCAGATCAGTCAGGCCTTATCCTCTGTGGCTGAGCAAGGTCTCAGAGAGGTGCTGGGGAGCCATGAGGCAGGTCGAGGGGCACAGCAGTGGAGGAGAAACTTCCGCAGGTACGTCTGGAAACCCACAAGCCCAGGTACTCCTGCATGCGGCTTGCAGCTGATTCCGGCCCCCCAGCCATGCGGAGGGGAAGTGCCTGCTCTTCACCCCCCTTTCCGTAGCCGGAAGGTCAGCACTGCCTTGAGCAAGTCTTATCAACTTCCTCCTCGCCTGGGGGTGGACCAGGCTGTGTCAGCTGGTCCTGTGACTACCCCCAATCCCCTGAGATCACACACAGGCCTGTGTGACACCAACAAAAACAGTTCAAAAGGAGACCCTCAAGGCACAAGGGGCAGACCGTCTTCTCAGGGCAGGTGGTGAGGGCTACAAAAGCAGGGAGAAGGAGAGATGCTGTCCAAGCCGCCCTCCACCCACATCAGGGTGTTTGGACACTAGACAGGGAAGCCTGCAGTCCACTGTGGTGACTTCCCCCCTACCCCGAGTGCTCAGGTCAGGGGGTGTCATCTGAACCCGGGCTCTGGGTGTGTATATGCTTACATGTCTGTCCCAGGGTGTCCACACATGTCTGAGTGTGTGATACATGTGCTTGTGTGTGCCTCTTGATACAAGTATGTAAGTTTGTACATCCCATGTGAGTACACTTGCTCGTATGTCCCAGTATGTGCATGTGTGTGCACGTGTGTGCATGAGCTTGCAGTTGTGTGTGTGTCGTATATGTGTCCCCAGCGTGTGCATGCACATGTATGCCTGCCTGTATGTATGCACAGTCCCTGTGGTTGTAAGTGTGCACATGTGTCTGTGCATAATTACCTGCATGTGTCTTCTAGCATGACAGAACATGTCCCGGGTACCTGCATACATGATTTATGTGTGCGCTTGGGTCCTTGTGCATGTGTGTATATCTCTGTACACACACACATGTATTTCTGTGGCTGTAACCACAAGGAGCTCTGGTAGCATAGTGGTTACGAATCGGGCTGTAAACCACAAGGTCAGCAATTCAAAACTACCAGCTGTTCCGTGGGAGAAAGATGAGGCTTTCTGCTCCTGTAAAGATTTACACCCTCGGAAACCCTGTATACAGGGTCGCTATGGGTCGGAACCAACTCCATGGCACATAACAACAATAACAACAAAAACCACATTGTGTATCTTAGAGTCTGGTTTCTGTGGCTTCCATGTCACTCAGAGCCCGAGGATCTTTGTAAATGTCTAAGGACCTTGTGATGTTACCCATGAATGTTCCGTAGTTAATTCTCAAGCTACCTGGGACGGCCAGGTGGGGAGCACTGCCACGTGATACCTCGCACTGCTGATTGCAGTCTTCAGACCACAGTCACTGAGCCCAGGACTTAGCATTTGGAAAAGAAGAGTCGAATATTTTTACAAGATCACCTCCAGGGAAAAGAGGTTGCCTCATAATCGACGTAGTTGTTTTTAAGCAGCTTTGTTGGTGGTGGTGCCATTAAAAGTCGTGGAGTCAGTTCCGACTTACAGCAACTGTTCATAGGGTTTCCAAAGAATGGCTGGTGGGTTTAAACCACCGGCTGTGTGGTTAGCAGTCCAGTGCTTATCCTACAGCGCCACAGCAGGACTCGTTAAACAGCCCATTGATGTGGTGCTGAGAAAGGAAGGTCTGGCCATCTGTTTCTGTGAAGATGACAGCCTAGCAAACCTTATGGAGCAGTTCGGCTCTGTCACATGGGGTCGCTGTGAGTACTCAACGGCGCCTACCAGCAACCAAGTGAACATTTAGAGGTGTTTAGTCCCTTTATAATGTTGGGCTAATTCCATAGCATTCTCATCACCCCAGAAGGAAACCCCATACCCATTATCAGTCACGCCCCGTCCCTCTCCCTAGTCCCTGGCAACCACTCACCCACTTTCTGTCTCTGTTCTGAATGTTTCACGTCAGTGGAGTCAGATACTACGTGGCCTCTGCCTGGCCCCTTCTACTTGGCACCGTGTTTTGAAGGTCCAGCCACATCACAGCACATGTTAGTACTTCATTCATTCCTATTTAAGATTGAATAACTGGAGTCCTGGTGTGCCGCTGTAGGATCAGCACTGGACTGCTAACCGCAAGGTTGGTGATTCAAGCCCACCAGCCGCTCCTTGGAACCCTATACAGGGTCAGTATATGAGTTGGAAAGACTTGATGTTACGTGACAGCAACACCAACAGACATGTCACTAGGAACCTTGACTAAGTGCTCAGCTGCTGACTGACAGCTTAGTGGCTCAAACACTCCAGCTCCTCCTTGGGAGACAGAAGTGGCAGTCTACATTCCTAAGGATGACAGCCTTAGAAACCCTATGGGGCAGTTCTGCTGTGTCCTGTGGGATTGCTAAGAGTCACAACCGATTCCGCGACAATGGGTTTGGTTTGGGTTTTCGGCATATGCCATAGCATGCTTATCTGTTGATGAACACTTTGGTTAGTTCAACCTTTTGGCGTATGTGCTGCTGTGAACATCGGCATACACATACCTAGCTGAGCCTCAGTTTTCAAGTCTTAAGTTAGGTACCTACGTTTTCCATAGAAGGCTGCAGGCCCATGGTCTCAGCTACAGCTGTCCAACTCTTCCATAGTAGGCAACAGAGAATATGCAAATCGATGATAAGTAAGTGAATGGGGATGGTTGCATTAGAATAAAATTATATTTATCAGAATAGTAAGTGGGTCTACCTCATCTTCCTCCCCTCCTTTTGTCTGCCTGATGTACAAACTCTTCTTCATCCTTCAGAACCCCTGTTAGATGTTCCTGTTCCCCTGAAGCCTTCTCCAGTCCTCCGGGATAGTCACCCTTCTATTCATTCATTATGTATTTAACTTTTTATTGTGAATTAAGTGAAGAGTTACAGAATAAATCATCAGTCCTACATTCAATGAATCGTATATTTCTTATCATTACCATGATTGCAGTCCCCTCCATGTGCCATCAGTTATCAGCATTTACCTGTGTGCTCTTTAACTCTTGCATTACCATTATCTTTCCTGTGCCAGCCTCTCTCTCCTTGTTTTTTGCCTTCTCCATCACCCAGGTTAACTGGCGTGGCGCTGTAGAATACGCATTGGACTGCTAACCACAAGGCTGGTGGTTCAAACCCACCATCCACTCCTTGGAAATCCTATACAGGGTTGCTAGGAGTTAGAACTGGCTCACGGCACTTAACAACAACAACCGTCTACCCAGTGCATAATTTTCCCTTCCCTTCCAGCCCAGGTAACCATCATAGACTGTTTCTTTTAGCAAGAAAACCTTTTCTTAACTTTTTTATAACAGTGGTCTCATACAATATTTGTCCTTTTGATGACTAATTTAACTCAGCATAATGCCCTCCAGGTTCATCCATGTTATGAAGTGTTATCACAAATTCATGATTAGTCTTCAACTTGAGTAGTATCGTGTGTATGTACCAAACTTGAACTGTTCTTCTGTGGATGGGCATTTAGGCTGTCTTCATCTTTCTATTATTGTGAATAGTACAGGGATGAACATAGTGGTGGTGATGTGCCATGGAGTCGGTTCCGACTCATAGCAACCCTGTACAGGGTTTCCGAGGCTGTAAATCTTTACGGGAGCAGAAAGCCTCATCTTTCTCCCGCAGAACAGCTGGTAATTTCGAACTGCTGACCGTGAAATTAGCAGTCCGATTCGTAACCACTGTATTACCAGAGTGCCTTAGATTGGTTGTAGGTGGATGCATTTACTTTTGGTCAATTCTGTCCCAGTGATCTGTGTAACTTTCATTGTGGCTGATACTACACCGCTTTGATTACTGGTGTGTCACTGCAGGATAATGCGCTGGACCATAAGGTCAGTTTGAACTGCAATGTTGGCTATTCAAGCCCACCAGCTGCTCTTTGGACAACCTGTCAGGGTTGCTGTGGGTCAGAACCAACTCAACAGCACTTCACAACAATGCAGCCTCTATTGTTGTACTTGATTTAATTTCATGCTGGGTTTTGAATTCTTTGAACAATTCTTTTAGTGACCTTGATGCTTCTGTTGGCCTAATGTTCGTTTCTGGAGGTCTTGGTGGTTCTTTTCAGTCTAGTCCCCATCTCCGGAGGTCTCAGAGGTTCTCCCTGACACATTACTCCTCTTTGGAGATCTCAGGGCAGGTTTGGGTCTGGCTTTTGATACTAGGACGGTCAAAGGTCGCAACCATTGACTTAAAGGTCCCATTTTGAAGCAGCTCGATGCTCCTCTGCCCTCTCCAGGAGTGCTGGCCAGTTATGTCTGGCCTCAGAGCAGTAGCCAGTCAAGGATGGGGCTTCCAGCCAGGAATCTGATGCCCAAGGGACCCACAGTCCGGGGAGTGAGGGATGTCGGTGTCAGTATACCTCCTATCTGGTGTCCTAGTGCTGCTGAAACAGAAATCTCACCCATGGGTGACTTGAAAAACTGAAGTTTTTTAGCTCACAGCCCTGTAGGCTGGAAGTGTGGATTAGAGTATGGCTCTCTCCTTGTCAGTATCAGCTTCTAGTAGGTGCCAGCAACCCTTGGCTCCTTGGCAGTCTTCACATGGGATCTCTTCTCTCCACTTTGTGTTTGTGTGACTCTGTGTAGCTTGTATTCTTTTTATAACACAGAAGTGATTAGGTTTAGGACCCACCCTACATTATTTGGCTCCAGTAACATCTCAAAGAAACCGTTACTTCCCAGTAGCATTGTAAGCCACAGTGTCTTCTCTCCTGGGGCGGTTGTAACACAGACAGACATCAGGAGCCTAGATGTCCAAATTCCAGGCACCTGTTCTAGGGGAACCCTCTTTCCTCTCTCTTTCAGCTCTGGGGGAAGGTCTTTGCCTGGCCTTCTCAGTTCCCTGGCTTCTCCGTGCCTCATCTGCCATTCTGAATATCTTAAAAGCGATTGGTTTAAGACATGCACTGCAGTGAATTGGTCTTACATAACAAAGAAAACCCTGCTTCCAAACAGGGTTGTATACTCAAAGATAACAAAACCAAACTTGTTGCCATCAAGTCAGTTTCGACTCATGTGTTACAGAGTAGACCTGAGCTCCATAGGGTTTTCGTGGCTTCATCTTTACAGAAGCAGATACCAGGCCTGTCTTCCACAGCATTCCTGGGTGGGTTTGAACTGCCAACCTTTAGGTTAGTACCTGTTACTGTCAAATCAGTTCTGACTTATGGTGACCCATATGTTATAGAGTAGAATTGAGCACCGTAGGCTTTTCTTGACTGTCGTGTTTCTGAAACCACGTTGCCAGGTCTTTCTTGCACAGTGTCTCTGGGTGGATTTGAACTGCCAAACTTTTAGTTAATAGTCAAATACAAACTATTCATTCCACCAAGGACCTTCCACAGGACGATTCCTACACATATTTTATTGTTGTTTGTTTTCATCAATTGAATTTTAACTCATGTGAACCCTGTGTGTTACAGAGTAGACCTGCCTCCTTAGGATTTCCCTCATCAACAAACATTAACCAACAGTGTTTCCTCCATGGTGTCGCTGGCGGGGCTCCAACCTGTCCACCTTTAGGTTAGCAGCTGAGCACGTATCGTTTGCTTCTCCACTGAATTCCGCACCTATTTTGGGGGTTACAGTAGAGTCCACAACACACAGGTACAGGGCTGAGGAATGACAATACTGTGGGTGGTAGTTCAGTCCGCAGCTTGCCACTCTTTACAGCCCTAACAGTGTCCCTGCCTCCCTCGCAGATCCTGCACGTGTGCACCCCGAGCCCTGAGGCATGCGGAGGCCAGGCCAGCAGCGGCAGCAGCAGGATGAGTGCCAGCGAGGCAGATGGCCTGGCTGGGCCCGAGCAGGCAGCCTACCACCTGTACATCTACCCGCAACTGTCTGCCGAGAGTCAGGACTCCTGCCGTGTGACGGCCACCAAGGACACCACCACATCTGACGTCATCCGTGATGCCATCGCCACCTTGCGCCTGGACGGCTCCAAGCGCTATGTGCTGGTGGAGGTGAAGGAGTCAGGTGGCGAGGAGTGGGTGCTCGATGCCAATGACTCGCCAGTGCACCGCGTGTTGCTGTGGCCCCGGCGCGCCCAGGATGAGCACCCACGCTGCGACGGCTACTACTTCCTGCTGCAGGAGCGCAATGCGGATGGCACCATCAAGTACCTGCACATGCAGCTGTTGGCCCAGGCGACTGATAGAGTGGCAGCTGCCCAGAAGCTGGTGCGGCGCGGCTTCCTGCCCTGGCAGCAGGCCGACTTTGACGACCTATGCGACCTGCCTGAGCTGACCGAGGCCAACCTGCTACGCAACCTCAAACGGCGCTTCCTGCAGCAGAAGATCTACACCTACGCCGGCAGCATCCTCGTGGCCATCAATCCCTTCAAGTTCCTGCCCATCTACAACCCCAAGTACGTGAAGATGTATGAGAACCAGCAGCTGGGCCGGCTGGAGCCCCATATCTTCGCCATCGCAGATGCAGCCTACCACGCCATGCTGCGCAAGCGCCTTAACCAGTGCATCGTCATCTCGGGCGAGAGCGGCTCGGGCAAGACACAGAGCACCAACTTCCTCATCCACTGCCTCACCGCGCTCAGCCAGAAGGGTTACGCCAGCGGCGTCGAGCGCACCATCCTGGGCGCCGGGCCTGTGCTCGAGGTAATGGGGCATCAGGGGCATTGTACACTGCAGATGAGCAGATGTGAGCAGGACCAGGCAAATGGAAGGGTGGGAGAAAATGGGCAAGGTGTAGGGGGCTAGGGGGTCAACAGGCAGCTGGGAATGGGCCTGGAGATGGCTCCGTTTGAATGAGGTGGCCCAGTGGGAGTAATGGGTTCCGTAGAGGCAGCAGGGGAGAAATTCCCCAGCCTCCCATGTCCTCTGGCTGATATCCCCATTGGCCAAAACAAACCCCATGGGCACCGTAGATGCATCTTCATGCGTGAGCTGTCTGGCTGTGGGCCTGGAAGAATCCACACAGCATCCGTCATTCACAGAGATCTCAGGACAAGATGCACTGTGTTGGGGGTGTAACCCTGTGGGAGGCATCGATGTATTTGGAGGTGATCCTCTGGACATGGGTCTGGAAGAGACCACTCAGTACCCCTCACCCGGGAAAGTTTTCGGACAAGATGTACTTACTGCATGTTTGGGAACAGTGTAGTACCCCGTCACCTGGTAAAGGCTGGGGGGTGATGTGTCTTTGTGGGTGAGCCTTGTGGACACGGGTCTGGAAGAGTCCACACAGCAGTGCTCACAAAGGGTTTCCACTTAATAGTAGTTGCATGTTTGAGAACAGTGCAGAATGCCGTCACCTAGTGAGGGTCAGGGGTTCTGTGACTCTGGGTTTGGAGTCCTCATCCCAGACTCTGCGTATTTTGTGTGTTTGTGTGTGTATGTGTTTTAAATAAACTCCCTAGATGTTCTAAGACCCTGGGCAGAGTGGACAAGGTGGGTGTGACGTGGCTACACCACTTCCTGGCTGCCTGGACCTCCACTCTCTGCCCTTGGCCTTGGGCTCAGGGACTACGCAGATGCTTTGGAGGGCTGCCCTGGGAGTTCACTGAACTTATACCCAGGCAGCGCCTGCTGTATACATTTCTGTTCCTCTGTGTCTCTGGAGTCAGCATCAGACCGTCAATGGGGAACATCAGACTTGGTTTCATGCCAGCATTTGGAGGCTTTTCACTTCTGTTTGCTGTTGTTGTCTGCAGTCGAGTCAGTTCTGATTCATGTACAATGAGACAAAATGCTTCTTGGTTCTGCATCTCCTTATGGATTGATTGCCAGTCAGACCTTGTGATCCACAGGGTTTTCATCGGCTGCTCTCTGCAAGTTAATCGCCAATAGGCCTCTCTTCCTACTGTATCTTAGCCTGGAAGCGCCACTGAAACCTGTGTAGCATCTTAGCAACACACAAGCCTGCACTTAAAGATGGGTGTTGGCTGGAAATTGAACTCAGACCCTGTGGATGGGATGGCTTATAAGAACGAATGAGGTCTCCATGAGACAGAGGCAATTCTATGATAACAGGTTATAAGAACAGAAATTTACTCTCACCATTTTTGAGGCCAAAAGTCTGAATTTGAGGTGTTGTCAGGGCCAGACACCCTCTGGAGGCTTGAGGGGAGAGTCTTTCCCTGTCTGTGCTAGTTTCTGGTGGCTACAGACAGGCTCCTGGGCCACATCACTCCAACCTCTGCTGTGTCCTCACTGGGCTTCCTCTTTTCTGACTTTCCTGTGTGATCAGAACACTTGTCACTGGGCTAAGGGCCCATGTGAGGGATCCCAGAATGCTCTCATCTCAAAATCTTCAGCTTCATCACAATTGCAAAGATGGCTTTTTCCAGACAAGGTCACCTCACAGGTTCCAGGGGTCAGGAGGTGGACGTGAAGTGGGGTGAGGGGGCACTACTCCGCCCTCCATAACACCCACAGAGTAACAGCTGGTGGGTTTAGGTGTTGGTGGTCCCAAGGGGCAGTCCCCCATCTCCTCCCTCCCTTCAGAGATGCCCTCAGGGCTTCTAGCACCTTCTGACCATCATCAAGGATGGGCATTAGAGGGGCAGTCTAGCTGGACGCTCTTAGGACTTTCCATCAGGACACAGTGTGGTCGCCATTCTCCACAGTTCCCAAATTCCAACCCAGTAAATAAGCACACCTCCTGGGGCAGCGGTTCTGATAGGGCTGAGGGTGGTGTTATCGGATAAGCACTGGACCACAAGGTCGGTTTGAACTGCAAGGTGGGTGGTTCAAATCTATCAGCCACTCCTCGGAAACTCTGTTATGGGGTAACTATGAGTCGGAACCAATTCAACATCACTTAATAACAACAAGGTGATGTTCTGGTGTGGTGCTATAGGATAAACACTGAACTGCTAACCATAAGGTCGGTGGTTCAAACGCACCAGTCATTCCTTGAAATCCCTATAGAGGGTCACTGTGAATCAGAACCCAAAAGCAATTAACAACAACAACGTGATGTTAGTTCAGAGCAGGGTTTCTTAGCCTCGACACTATTGATATTTGGTTCCAGAACATTCACTGTCACTGTAGGATGTTAAGCTGCATCCCTGGCTTCCACCCACTCGATGCCAATCGCATTCTCCCCACCCCGCTCATGATACCACACATGTCCCTAGACATGACCCAGTGTCCCCTGGGGGACAGAGTCACCCCCCGATGAACAACTCTCCTCCAAAAGTGCCAAGCATCCCGAGTTCCTTTCTTGGGTGTCTCCAGCCGTGTCCATGCTCTTCCAGAACCACACAGCCCCTCACTGTCTACAAACCTACAGCATGGACTCTGTGCATGGAGGAGGACCAGCAGCCAGGGACACCCAGTCTTAACCCCTAACCAGAACAGCCATGCTCCCTGACTAGGAGGCAGCAGGTCGGAGTACAGAGAGCCTGCAAAGGCAGTTCAGAAGTCTTATCCAACTTTGCAACCTCCACACTACTGATGTTTGGGTCCAGAACATTCTCCGACTGGGGGCAGTCCTTTGAACAGTGGGGCGGTGAGCAGTGGCCCTGCCTCGATCCACTGAGTGCCAGTAGCACCCCCACCCAGCTATGACAGCCAGAGGTTGTCCTGAGCCCTCCCACCCCCCAGTGAGAACCCTGCTGTAGACTCACAGCCTCACCCCCATCTCATCCCCTCCCCCCCCAAGACCGTCCACTTTATCTCAGGTGCACACCATGGTCTTTAGGCAGCTCCAGCAACCTCTGAATAAGGAACATGACCCGTCTCCATGCCCCCAGCCTCACTGATTAGGGGTCTCAGGGTCTTTGATCTCTGAGCCTCACACTAACCCCACCCATGATACAGGAGGTATGACGGAGTGTTTGTTTCCTGTGGCTGCCATGGCAAGTAGGCACAAACCAGGTGGCTGACAGCAACAGGAATTTGTTCTCTCAGTTCTGGAGGCCAGAAGTCTAAAATTCAGGTGCTGGCAGGCCCACACTCCCTCGGGGAGCTGGAGGGCAGGATCCCTCCTCGCTGCTTCCCCCGTTTTCTGGTGGCTCCAGGTATCCCTGGGCTTGTGGTCACATCACTCCAATCTCGGCCTCCTTCCTCCCATGACCTTCCTCTCTGTGTCTTTTCTTCTTCTATCTCTTATGAGAACACTGGTCTTTGGATTTAAGCCCACCCCTTTTCAGCCCTGGTGGCACCATGAGTTCAGTTTGGCAGTTCAAACCCACCACTCTGCGAGAGAATGATGAGGCAGTCTCCCAAAGATTTGGAAGCCCTGAGGAGCAGTTCTAAGGAGCCCTGGTAGTGTGGTGGGTTGCGAGTTAGGCTGCTAACCACAAGACAAGGTCAGCAGTTTGAATCTACCAGCCACTCCTTGGGAGAAAGATGAGGCTTTCTGCTCCCATAAAGCTTTACAGCTTCGAAAACACTACACAGCGTTGCTATGAGTCGGAACCAATTTGGTGGCAAACCACCACCACCACCCTCAAGGAGCTCTTCTACACCAAGTCAGAACAAATCCTGGTGTTGCACTGTAGGATAAGCACTGGACTGCTGACTACAAGGTTGTCAGTTCAAACCCACCAACTGCTCCTGGGAAACCCTAACCAACTCAGTGGCACTAAACAACAACAATGAGCCCTGGGCGTCCTGGTGTAGTGATGTAGGATAAGCACTGGACTGCTAATCATAAGGTTGATGGTTCAAACCCACTAGGCACTCCTTGGACTGTGAGTCAGAGCCAACTTGATGGCAGTAGGTTTGGGGGTTTTAGATCTACTTCAGTAAGGTCCTTAGATGTTGTAGACTGTTTACACTCAACTGGACTGCAAATCACAAGGTAAGCAGTTCAGACCCACCAGCTGCTCCTTGAAAGCCCTATACTGGATCACTGTGAGTCGGAATCAACTTTTTGGCACTTAACAACAACAACAGCTAACCTACAGGTTGCTAGTTCAGATTGACCGGTGGTCCTGTGGAAGAAAGACTTGGCAATCTGCTGCAATAAAAAATTTCAACCCAGAAAGTCCTGTGGAGCAGCCCGACTTTGCAGCACATGGTATCACCGTGAGTCAGAATCTCCCTGGCTACAATGGATTCCTAATGCAGTGTGAGCTCTTCTTAGCTTGACCCCCATGCAACTACCCCTTCTCCAAACAAGGTCCTGGTCACAGGTGCCCTAATCGTGTGACATGGACATGGCTTTCATGGGGACACAGTTTCATCACTCCAGTTGGACGGTCCCAGGCCACACCACAGGCAGCCGTGACAGGCTCGGGGTTTGGACCCGGTGCCCTGCCCTGCTGCCTCTCCTCGTGTCCATGTGGAAGTTTCCGTGGCGTTCTGCACAGCCCCCAACGTCTGGGACTTTTTTCAGCTCTCCAAAAGAAGAAGTTCTGCTGTGGTGAGGCCGTGGCGCAGTGGACACCCCAGCGGGGACTGCAGCCTCCCTGTGTAGCCCTTACCAGAAAACAGGAAGGGGCGCCCAGGAGATCGTGGCAGGGTCATCTGATGGTTCCCAGGCCCCAAAATGGTCACCCTGTTGCTAGAACAGAGTTACCACGAGTGAGTGGCTTTGAAGGACAGACAGTTCTTTTCTTGTTTGTAGGCTGGAAGCCCGAATTTAGGGCAATGGCTCTCAGGGAAGATTTTCTCTTCTCTGGCTTCTTTTCCTCAGAGATCTTCAC